TCACCAGTCATCAGTGTCACTTTGCATTTTAATGTGTTCACTTCCATCCGTTTTCCTTCCACTGATCTGCCACCATCACCACAACATGAAGCCAGTCAGGTGGTGTTGATTGTGGTCGCTCTCTTCTGTCTCCTCTTGCTTCTGTCCCCAACACGTGTCACATCTGCGTTTTAATTTCAAAGACATTTCATTTCCTCTCTATCTCCACGCTCTGACTTCTGCCACTTCCGCAATTCAAGGTAAGCTCACTTTTTCGTGGCGTTTATTTGAACTTGGCAGATGTCAATGTTTTTACTGGTGAAAGCTCTTTTTCTCTGTACTAAGGTTGAACTTTTTATTTAGTAAACAGAGCGCAATTTACTAGTTGGCGCGTTAGATGCCGCTGAATTATCTGCAGATGTTGGTACAAGTTTAGCATAAAGTAGAGAAAATATGAATTTGATGCCAAATTGTAAAACAGTGCACATGTACAACTACCGTTTCTCTCACCCGGATCTAATGTTTTACTCGTACACAGTGTACATTTTGATAGAGATAGAGTGGCGGCTATATGTGCTTTATGATTTGCAAAAAGTATAATGCTTGGTGTGCCAATTTATTTATTCCGCCTTATTATTTGCACCCTTCAATGACTGTCACCTTTTGCTGTTGAATGTTTTGACTGCTGCTGAGACAGGCTATTTGCAGCAAATTTTCCGACTGGTGAATGTACTAAACTAAAGTTATTGAGTAATCACACAGAAAAAATGAGTTTCTTGTAAGGCACCTGGCAGACGACTGGCCTGTGTGTGTTCTTCGGTACAAACTAGTACTAGTACCAACAAGTATGTGCGCACTAGTCCCTCAGTGCACGCTCACCAGTGCTGAACCGATGAGGATTAGATTGCCCCACAAGATAACCTAGTAACTAATAGCTGCATCTTNGCAGGCTATTTGCAGCAAATTTTCCGACTGGTGAATGTACTAAAATAAAGTTATTGAGTAATCACACAGAAAAAATGAGTTTCTTGTAAGGCACCTGGCAGACAACTGGCCTGTGTGTGTGTTCTTCGGTACAAACTAGTACTAGTACCAACAAGTATGTGCGCACTAGTCCCTCAGTGCACGCTCACCAGTGCTGAACCGATGAGGATTAGATTGCCCCACAAGATAACCTAGTAACTAATAGCTGCATCTTTACTGCTACTACTGTCGCATTGGCTCGATTAGATGCTGGCTCAGAGACGAGGCACAATTAGTGCTTAATTTGCAATATGATGTTGTGTACAGTGGACGACAGCAACAACAATCTATACGGAAAAGTAGTTTTTCCAATTCAGTGCCTGACTTAAAATTTGATCAAGTATTGAAAATCTCTTTATCAATGTCTGACTTATAGTCGCCCTTGATCGCTGCGATCAGGGAATTTTTATTTGCCAAAAAGAAAGTTATCAATTCTGAAAGTGTCTGTTTATGCTTTTTTCCTTTTCATAAAGTCACGTAATATTGTTGCTTGTTTTTGGCCATACCTTTTTGCTAAGGTTGTTTACGCGAGTGATCAGTATCGGAGATGGCACTCGAGGACGTTTGAATAATCAGTTCTTAATGATAGACTACCACTACTGTCTCGCCGATATGGCCACTTGACCATGACCGGAATTTTCCAGTCAAAAATACAGTGAGGTAACCTTTTGTGATTCATTTTGGTTGACACTACTTGGCACAATCAAACTACAAGAATAGGAATCGCTTTTTTAGTTGAGTTACAGTGCCTCGATTGCCGCAGTATCTGAGTCAGATCATTGGTGGTCACGTACTGGTGCTGCACACTTATCTAGCTACTTTATTGGCGCTGGTACCCCACTGGCAATCCTCGGTAGTGCGTCATCATCAAAAATGTCACACACACTAAACTGGAAATCTTTTGTGATTTTTAATTTTGGTGTCTAATAATCGATTACTCAGTTAATTGAGTCAGGGCAGCAGCAACCAGTTTTTGTGTCTACTCAGTTTCGTGCACCAGCACACCCTGTACATCATGCTCAGGTACTTTATTGCAATGTACAATAGCTTCCCGTTCACCTCAAGGAGGAGGTTATCACTCTGCCAACTGTGCTCTCTGGTATGTGAGCTGCTGCTGGCCTCTGCTCAGTTCTAATCACTTTGAAGACTATATCTTTTAAGTGTGTCGCTTATCTTTTCTCTCCCTGACACTCCAGATGAGCAACCGTTTTGTACCATTTCATTACTCATTAGCTTCCCCGAAAGAAGGGTAAAGTGCTGGGTTAGGTGTGTGTGAGTGAGTGAGTGAGTGTTTGTTTGCTTCTTATACTTGCTTCTCCTTAATCTCTCTCTCTCTCTCTCTCTCTCTTTCACCGTAACACGTCAGAGGATGTTTGTATGTTTTGTTAACTCACTTTATAGCCTTCTTTACAGCAGCAGCTTTTTACCGCTAACTAATAATTTCTCACTTTTTTCTTCAATTGTGCAGTTCCCTCTCACCGACTCACTCACTCATTGCTAGCTGTCACCCTCAATCAGTATCGCTGGGCACCATGGCGATGGCAGCCTCAGTGGCCAGTGGCCTACTACCGCCTGGTCGTTTTAGTTGTCACTTGTAGCTTCAAAATGTGTTTGATTTTCTACTACAACTCACTCCTGAAATCTGAACCTAGCAGTTTGTCCAGCGAACCCCTCTGTTAAATGTTCACCACCGGATTTTTAAACAAACAAAACAAGTCCAACATGAGCTTTAATCAGGATATAAACTTTCACCGTGCTGCAAAGCACCTTCGCTCTTCTACGCACTCATCGCCTCAACGAATGCTCTCCTGCCCCAACCCTGGCGGAACGATGCATCGGTTCAAGCCTGCTCAAACAGGTTCAAATGTGTCGCTAAACTCTGCCTGCTCTTCCAAAGATGAGGGCTCTTCTGGGGAGTGTTCAGATCATAATCACAGTCATCATCATCATCACGATCACCATCGCGAAGAGGCACCTGACCATAGCGGTGCTTTCGATCGTAACCAAAGTCTACAGTCGTCCTTCAACTCTGACCACTCTTCGTCGAGAGAGTCTGACGTTGGCTTTCTAGGAGGCGATGACTCGCCGACCATTTCAGATGTGCAGCCATTTACCAAATTAGCGTCCACCAACTTTGAAACGTCTTTTCCTACTGAATCACATAACAACAATCTAATTGAGATGACTGAGCTTAAAAAATGCCAATATACAGGCAAGAAGAAAAAGAAAACTAAAAAATCTTCAAAATCTTCAAATTCATCCGCCTCTTCAGTCGGTAAGTTTTTTTTGTTGGAATAAAAAAAATTATTGTTACTCTGCTAGTTTTGCAACAGAAAAGAGCGCTAGCATACAAAGGCTCAAGATAGTTTGAGTGAACTTTGAGAAGTAGAGCTTGTACAGTTTGGCAAACGATGCACTCCGTTTGTACACACTCTAGATTTTTCATTGAAAAGGTCATTGTAGAGAGAAGGCTTTGAGTGGCAGTGTACTTGGTGCGGGCGTGTGTGTATATAATGGCAGTCAAAATAAACAGAGTATCAGCTTATCAAGTTTTATTCGCTGTTTGGCGTAGTGTTCAGTGTCCGGTTATGTTCGCTGATGTTGAAATCAGTCGTTGAAATGACCAATTTTATCTCGTGTTTTGTAGTTTCGGATGGCAGCAACGGCAGCGGTGACATCCATGCGACTATTGTACCCAGTGGGGGCGCACTTGACGTTGCCAAAGACTCTTCCAGCTCCTGGTACCAGTTTATGATGCCCTCCTACAAGTCGCGCCTTTCCACTTTCCACTCGACCTTCCTCAACATTCCCACCACAGAGGCGGTGGTCGACGACTTTCTCTGCGCCCTCCATCGAGACATTCTCCTGCAGGGACGACTGTACGTCTCCGTGAACTACATTGCTTTCTACTCGAACATTCTCGGCTACGAGACAAAAGTGGTCATTAACTTCAAAGACGTGAAGCACATCAGCAAGGCAACCACCATTAAGCTCTTCCACAATGCCATTGAGGTGTACACTTTTGACGGCACCAAGTACTTTTTCACCTCCTTTGTCAGCAGAGAAAAGTGCTTTAAGGTGCTGAAGCTGCTCTGGGAGAGTGCTTCTGGTCTGGGTGAAAGTCAGAAGATAGACTGGAACGAAATCTGTCGCATCATTAGACAGAACTACTCTACACAAACGCTGGGCGCCAATCTAACTGATCTCGAAGATGCTGATTTAGAGAAGCACCTTTCAAAGGTTTGTCGCTGTTCTTTGTGTTTAGTTGTAATTAGTATTCATGAAATTACTTTTCTAGGGTAAATCAGTACGGAAAAGGCTTCAGAAAAAGAAGGATAGGCTAAAGTCAATGAACAACTCGAGGTTTGTCAATCTTATTTTCCTTTCTTGACTGTTTTTATAATGCCTTTTTTGCTTAGCAGTGACAGTGCATTGTCGATAAAATCTCAAGCTGATCTTCCAGACGGTGATGAGGACGAGGACGAGTTTGAAGACACCCTTGAGGAGGAAGCTTCAGCCAGCGAAGATGTAGCTGACGGTGGCAGCAATTGTCGACCAGTCAATCACCATGAAATCCTGGTGACAGAGAGTCCTTTTATCAGCCAGTGTAGAGAATGCGTGCAGACTGTGAGGGGAGCCATTTCGCCTGCATATCATCTTGTGAGGCAATGCTTGGCCAAAGAGTCCACTCGAGTGTACCTGTGCTATGCAATGATCATCCTCATCTTTTGCCTTCACATTCATCTGATGATTCGCATTGGCACTGTCAATGAGCGACTGGAGATTTTCACCAACCTGGCAAAGCAGGCTATGTCTGAGAGGATGCATCGACAGTCGCTAGGTGTGCTTGCTGCCACCAACTCTCAGGTAGTGGTCGCCTCTTCCAGTAATAGTCTTCAGCATAATCAGCAGCAGCAGTTAACGACTACGTTTTCATCGTCGCCTGCAACAGAATGCTCTCAGTGTCACTTCAATTTATCGCCCACTTGAACTTTATTTGCAAAAAAATCCCTTATAACTTATGTTTAGTCATCTTCCATTTTCTTTTCCAGCAATTTCCCTTTTTTCAATCAAAACCACTACAACAGCGAAAACTAATCGATCTCTATCTGTGATTTACAATGCAATTTATCGGCAAATTGACACCAAATAATAAATAAAATTCCACATAATTCAATACACCAAAACACGCAAATGCTTTTGTTGGCTTAGGTGGCGGAGCTTAGTTGCATCTTTTTAAACACAACTTTTTATTATTCAAATTTTTGTGCATTACAGTTTCAAAGTATCTAACTATCCAATTAGAGGATACAATTGAGAATAATTATAGCCAAGAGGAGAACGCCCAGAGTGGCAATCACTTCTGGCTGCAGCATATCGTCCAGTGAATCGGCATCCACTGCACCAGAATGCTTCTGAGCCACTTTAGCTGCTCCCGTAATGCCAACTTCTGCATTTAAAGGCTGCAGTTCAAAGCCACCCGATTCTTGCACTGCCGCTCCACTGTTGTTGCTATTGACATTTTGTGGTGGTGGTGGCGGTGGCGGAGGGTTCTCATCAAAGACGCAAGACAGCTGAACTTTACGTGGCGGAACATTGGCAAACTGAAAAGGAGTTTTGCAGGAATAATAAACAGTGTTTCAGTTGTTTCCTCTAGTAACTCACCAGTTCATTGACTACGTTCTTCATCTCCACTGATCCATCATCGGCCGTTTTGATCTCTTCCCCTCGCATCACTGGTCGCCACTTGATCATGAACTTCTGCTTTCGACGATCAAAGGGGCCACCTGTCTGTCGCCCATGACGATCGACCAGTGGCTGCAGGAGAATGTCCACTGTCAGCGTCTCTCCTGGCTTAATCAGACCGTACACTGGTCCAACCTGGAAGTGGGTGTTGGCCGTGGTGAGGAACTTGAAGGCTATCTGCTCGTTATTGTAGCTGTTGGTTAGTTTCACTTCGCTCATGGAGGCATCGTAGAAGGGACCTGGAAAGTAAAAAGGAAGCAAAAATGTTGGTCATTCACCAGATATGTTTGTGGACATACCTTTGAAGTGAACTGCAGTACTCGGTTCCACAAGAAGTTCTCCCATTTTAATTTAAAAATTAATTAAAAAGATTAATTTACTGAAAACAAAACTTTTGCTGTGTTTGGAAAAACCCTGAAACAGAGACATGTGGTACTACAGCATACTAAAAACATTTTAAAAATCGAATTTTTAAGTAAGAATGACGATTGTAGTGAAAACAACACGTCGCAAGTTTTTTGACTAGTCATTACTGTGTTTGCCTGTCATTTATTTCACACCATTTCCCCTGAAACTTAACTTTAACGCTAGTGCATCATCAGCAATGCCACAAGAAAAGTCAACAAGTGCAAAGAAGAAGAAACAGGAGCAGACAAAATCGTCAAAGAAGAAGGCAACCGCAGCGGTTGCCACCTCTCCCAAGTCGGGCACTCCAAAGAGCACAAAAAGCTCCAAGAAACCTGCTGCCTCTACTGCCAACAGCAAACCGACTAACGGCAACTCATCAAAGCATGGAACTCCCAAGTCGGTGAAAGGCAAACCGAAGGCGTCCAGTACTGCCCACAGCTCGCCCACGCAGAGCACCGTCATCAACAAAACTCCCACCAAAGGAGGCCATGGTGGAAGCAAGAAAGCCACTGAAAAGAGCAAGTCAGCAAAGAAGAAAGCACCCGTCCAGGTGGCTCAGAAGGTCACCGCAAAGCCTACCCCGCCACCACCTCCTCCTCCGCCGCCCAAAAAGAAGAAGAAAAAGGCCGCTCCTCAAGTGATCGTAAAGGAGGAGGACAGTGATGACGAAGAAGAGGAAAAAGAGGAGGTGGCAGTGGTAGAAAAGAAGGAGGAAGAGGAACAACAGGAGAGCAATGAGGTCCATCTTCCGCCGCCACCGGCACTGGCTAGTGGTGGCAGCTCTGAGGAGGTGCTCGCTCCAGTGCCCACCTCCACTTCGCCAACTGCTTCTGCGGTTAAAAAGAGCAAGAAACCATCGGCAAAGAAGGCGAGCAAGCCTCCGGCTAAGAAGGCTTCGAAAAAGAAGCAGAAGAAGGTGGCAGCTGCCAAGCCGAGCGCTGCTGCTGCTGCTGCTTCCTCGGTCGCTTCCTCTGACGAAGGAGAAGAGGAGGAAGAGGAAGGAGGAGGAGAAGAAGAGAGTGGAAAGGGTAGTGCCGTTAAGGCTTCGGAGGTAGCAGCTGCTCAGAAAGCCGCCAAAGCAGAGGATGACGAACCACCGCCATCGTCAGGTAGTTCTGCGGCCCAGAACAGCAGCAGCAGTGCTGCTTCTGCTGAACCGGTCCGTCCAAGTCAACCGCCTCCTTCGCCGCCACCTCCTCCTCCTCCTTCTCCATCTACCTCTGCGCCACCGTCTAGTGACGAAAACAAACCAGGCGCCGATTCAGACTGTAGAGCTCCTTCCAAACATCAGTCGGACTCTCATGTCGCACAGTCTAGCGAGATGGGCGCAGAACCGCCTGCTCCTACTTCCAGCAAGTCGAGTAGCGAGCCGGACATGAAAAAAGAGGAGAAAACAAAAGAGGCGATAGANCTGCGGCCCAGAACAGCAGCAGCAGTGCTGCTTCTGCTGAACCGGTCCGTCCACCTCAACCGCCTCCTTCGCCGCCACCTCCTCCTCCTCCTTCTCCATCTACCTCTGCGCCACCGTCTAGTGACGAAAACAAATCAGGCGCCGATTCAGACTGTAGAGCTCCTTCCAAACATCAGTCGGACTCTCATGTCGCACAGTCTAGCGAGATGGGCGCGGAACCGCCTGCTCCTACTTCCAGCAAGTCAAGTAGCGAGCCGGACATGAAAAAAGAGGAGAAAACAAAAGAGGCGATAGAGGAGGACGAGGAGTTCACCAAGCCGACCATCAACCAGATGAAGAAGGAGAAGAAGGAGAAACCGCTCAGTCTCTCGGAGAAGATCAGCAAGCTGGAGTTTGAGTCACTGAACGATGAGGTACAGTAGTGGTGATGGTAGTGGTGACAATTGCTATGTAACTCACAAGTCTGCTAATCTGATTTTAAAATGATCTAACACCCACTTTAGATCGCCGAGCTAAATCAGGGAGTTGCCATGCTTAAGCACTCCTACGGGAGCATCATCAAATCGCTGGTGGCGATGCAGAACCGCCGAACGAAGAAGAAGGCTGCCAAAGAGGCGGCGGCAGCGGCTGCAGCCGGCGGTGAAACAAAGTCTGGTCGAGGTGGCGAATGCAAGCCCACCTTCCTCACCACCGTCTCCACGATGGACGCCTGCAAACTGGCAACTCCGAGCTGTCTGGTGATGAAGGACAAGTACGACATTGAGCGCTTCGTCAATCCGCTCACTCGCGAGGAGACCTTCCAGCTGCTTTTTGATGAGGTAACGCTGCTTTGTTGTTTACCAATTTAGATCTGACACAATCGTCCTGTTTGCTTTTCCAGATTGCTGATCTGAACAAGCTCACCGAGCCCTTTCGCACTCGATTCTTTGACGCAAAGGGCAACTTTTTGCGCCCCAAATTTGAAGCGCAGAAGGAAGTCAAGATGGACCGCACACTTTTTAATGAGTACAAAATTTGGGTAAGCTGATTGAAGTGTTTTTATCTGACTATTTACTAACAGTTTGCTTAAAGACCAAAAAGTTGATGTCCATAGTGGACGATATCGCCCGCAACTACAACGACGATTTGCTCAACATGTTCCGCTTAAACTGAGCATGAGTTGCGCATTTTGTCCCGCATCGCACATTGTTGTCGTTTTTGTGCGCACACTTCTGTTCATTTGTTGCCCTCTGGCCTGGATCCAATTTTCCAAACATTATCATTTTTATTTTATTCTTGAGTTGTTATTATACTTTTTGGTGTATTACACCTCTAAAACTTGTAGTTTTCATAAACTGCATTTCTTGTTCAGATTACTTGTGGCAACTCTATATTTCCTTGATCACATCCTTTTTACCAAAATGACAGTAAATTCCACTGTGCAATCATGTCGGAAGTCGTCTACATGAGGAAATCAATTGCTGTGCATTTCCTTCTTTCGTTTGTCTAGCTGCATGTCACACTTTTCGCTCTCTTTTCTAACAGGTTGATGCTGTAGTAATGACTGTTTTAGCTACTATATCCCTTTTTCTCCTCATCGGGCCTTCTCTTTTCTACTGTCAGCCCAACTTTTCCGGTCCCACCTGTAACAGGCTGCCATTTCCCTCAGACGGCAATCTCCTCACACTGCAATGGCCAATCTCCTTTTGCTACAAACAGGGTCGTTGCTCACTGCAACGACCACGTCATGATTTTGTGATCCACGGACTCTGGCCTCAGTTTAATGCATCAAAGAGTGAACTGGCCAGAGAGATCTCCGGCACTTCCTACCCTCAGTACTGCTGTCATCCGCAAGAGTTTGTATAAAACAAAACTGCTTACAGTTCAATTTTAGCTGACGTTGCTTTTTTAAATATTTGTTTCAGACGTGACGTTGATTTAGCGCAGTTGCCTGGNGACAAAACTGCTTACAGTTTAATTTTAGCTGACGTTGCTTTTTAAATATTTGTTTCAGACGTGACGTTGATTTAGCGCAGTTGCCTGGTCGGTTGGGTGAGGAAATGAGCGCAGTGTGGCCTAGCCTGAAACAGCCTCGTAGATCTCCGCAAGCGGAAACTTTTTCCTTCTGGCGTCATGAATGGTCAAAACACGGAAAATGCTACTCTGTGGATTTGCCTCATCGAGAGCGTCGATTCTTCACTGCTGAAGCCTACTTCTCAGCAGTACTTCAACTGTACAAACAATTTCCCATTATTCGATGGTTGGCTTCAGCACAAATAGTGCCTTCCAATGGGCGACCGTACAGTCGAGAGCAGATTCATCGAGCATTGAGCACTAAAGAGTCACTGCGCGGAGTATTCCGATTAAAGTGCGATCGACCTTCACGACAAAACGAAGCACCACCTCAGGCACCGGCTCTTCTCTCTGAAGTGCAAGTGTGCCTTGATCAAAGCTTGAAGCCAGTTCACTGTGGCCACCTATTTGGAGGAAGGACAGGCAAATATGAACGTTCACAACTCGAAACATTTGAAACATTTGACGATCATCAGTGTGGCAATGAAGTAATGCTGCTGGAATCCTAAATGGCAGCCATTTTCTAAATATAGTGCCAATCTTGCCTTTCTCTCGCTCTCTTCCTTATAAATAGCAGACGCAACAAAAACTACTCTCTTTGTACAATCACTCAAAAATCGTACAAGGTCAACGTTTGATCGACCAATTGGTTGTGCAGTACACACTCACACATTGACTCTTGCCACACTGACTTGATCATTAGCAAACCTGGTTATGTTGCGCCCAGTGTGAGCATTCCACGCATATCAACGGCGTGCTCTTCGCGCCCAGCTCCTGTACCACCGCAACAGTGCAGCAGTCCTGCTGTGCATACTTTTTCAGAAATGAGAGAAAGAGAGATTTTTGTTGCTGCAATGGCAAATAGTCGCCGAGTAGCTGCACCATTAGGCGCCATTACGCCATGTGCTACTGTTTGTTTGTTTGAGCGCCACTGGGAATGCCATTCACTCTGTCTCCGCCGAGGTGTGTGCAGCAAATGTTGATGCAGCAAAAGTAAGAGAGAGAGAGAGAGAGAGAGAGAGAGAAAGAGAGAGAGAGAGAGAGAGAGAGAGAGAGAGAGAGAGAGAGAGAGAGAGAGAGAGAGAGAGAATGAAGAAAAACAGCGGAGATCGTAGAAGACATTCCAGCTGTGTGCCCGCCATAAAGTGATCATTGAACTGACTTCAGCACTGCTCTACGCACACACTCTTTCTCTTCTTTCCAGTTGACTGAGAATGTGGGCGTGTTTGGCCATTACCCAGTGATATTGGGTGTAGTGATGACGGTTGCTGCTTCTCATTTAAATGGCGGCACTTGCTCTGTTTACGCATCCCAGACGAGTATGGGAATGACATTCGACAGGGTGGTAGTGCTGCTAATTAGAAAATGGCACTAAAGATGGAGTGCAGTGAGCACATTATAAAAGATAGTCGTTTTGAAAAGCAACAACAACGGTATTTATCACCATCATTATGTTAGTTCCCACTTAACAGACTTTCTGGTGTTTTTCATATTTCCTTGCTGCTGATGAAGCCCATTTAAGCATTGCAACTGTGCCAAATTCCGCAAATATTTTTCCATGTCTATATTACTTTATGTTTTGCTATATAAAAATTGAGTATTGAATCAATTTTGAAATTCAAGTTTGTTTGTGTGTACTATCAATGATTCATTGACGACATTGCCAGTCGGTTGCCAGTCTGAGAATGTGTCTGTTGCATCTTTCAACTGTTTTCATTGCACCAAAACAAATTTGCATACTAATCACACCTTTTTTCATTTTTTATTTTTTAGCCAAATTCCCCGCATCATGACTTTAAAAATGTTCATTAAATTTTCAATTCTTTTTTCTTTAAAACTTTCCGAATACTTTTTTTCTCTATTGTTGACAATGACTGCAAATTTAGGCACCCGGCAAAAAATGATTTGCACTGAATATCAAGCAAGCAAAAAGTTTTTGATTTTTTTCTGCACAGCTCAATATGCAAACACTAATAGCTTATTGCCTCCATTTTTCTTTGATCATAGTGTATGACTGGATGCTCATAGCTGAACTAGAATAGAATACCATAGACTGACAGAACAACTACTGTACAGCGGTTTAACTGGTAGTGGTAGTGCTAAGGCTGCTAAGAGCAAACAGTCGAACATTCTTCTTCTACCGTTTCGTCGAACCGACTGTGAACTTTTTGCTAAACCACAAATCTGTAGTGGTAGTACTACGACGGCAACAAAGGCGTACTTGAGAATGAGAGAGCGCCTGTTCCTGCTAAGCTAGCGTAAATTGAAAGTCAAGGAATTTTGGCGAATTTAAAGAATGCTCAGCACAGCTGCACTCCTCTCTTGGCGCTTGATTCGGCGCGGGAGCACGATTCTTCGGTCGAGTGCAAAGCATACACAGTCAGCCACATACTGCTACAATGCATATTACATTATGGAATAGTTGCTAATGGTAGTGTGCTGATGCTGGTGCTGTTGCGAAAAGCAGCAGAAGAATTTGCCTGCGTCTTTGCCACCATTACCAATGCTTGAAAAACGAGAGAATGAGAGAAAATACAGCACTACTATCAGGCGCTAGAGCTGATTGAGAGGGCTTTGCTGTGAAGCTTTAACTTGAGCTCAATTCCAGGCCGACGTTTGACGAGTAAAATGCGGAATTAAACACAAATGCGGCAACGTTAACTGTTTGGTTTGTTCGGATAATTTTTGCATTCTTCAGTAAGAATGAATAACTGCATTTTTGTGCTTGTAAAGAAAAAATGCTCCATTTTTCTGTTGACAATAAATCAACCAGAAAAAAGTGCGGCAATGTGTAGATAATAGTCTGCTATGTACGAGAATTGTTAGCAATTTTTCACGTTAATCTTGTTAGATGATATCAGTGGTAATTAACCTTGCTAGGTACTTTCTGGTAACGGATTGCAACAGCAAGCCCAGCACAGTTAATTGAGTGTAACAAACAAAGTTTTAGAGTATTCTTTAACGGAGTTGTTGCATAAGTGCATTTTTCCAAAGAAAAAAAGTACTTATATGTGATTTACTAAAAGTTGCATATACTGATGATTGTTATCAGCACTTTTGGCTCCGCCAGAGACTGATGCTAGCTGGCTTTGACAACTCGCAAAAAGAGCACCTTGATTGTCTGGGATGTTGCTGTGCAGTTGCTGGCAAGGTGCTCTGAGAGTGAACAGTGACAGTGTGATCGGTTAGCAGTGTCACTTGAGCAGTTGTTTTGCTGTGTGGAGGCACTGCCTTCCGTCCTGCCACTTTCTTTGACTTCCTCTCTTGACAGCAAACAACAACAACCACCACAACAGTTGTCTCCATCTCACTCTCTCCTCGCATTGTCAGCCGGCAGTCAACGAGGAAATCAATCGACACCTCCTGGCGGGAAAAGGGAGAGAGAGAGAGAGAGAAAGAGAGAGAGAGAGAGAGAGAGAGAGAGAGAGAGAGAGAGAGAGAGAGAGAGAGAGAGCAAAAGGCAGACAAATACCGCAGCAGAACTGCTGCAAATCTGTTAGTCAGAAGCTGACAGTTGGCGCGCGTAGCAATTTCTGCGATCCGTCTCTGGTGACGGCAAGGTAGATGTACGATGGCACAAAGGGAAGCTAAGCAATGTGCCAAGTGAACGGCAACGCAAACTGCGCCTTTTACCCTAGTGTGTTTAAAAATGCAGCAGACTTATTTATGAAGCCTAGTGTCGAATTGCACCGGGCACCCATACTGCCAGCTGACTGGCAATAGCGAAGGTTGTTTTTGTTTTTTGTCTGTTTTGTTGTTGCTGATCATCATAATCATCTGAGAAGCAAAAATCGCACAGGCAACCACTGACAGACGACGGAACTGCAAATTTAGATGGAATTGGCAGTGCCGGAAAATAAGCGTGAATAGCAGCAACAGCAGCAGCAACAGCAGTAGCTATCAGGCATGTGATTGCAACGAGTCTAATGAGTAGCAGTGCTCGGCAAAGCTAAGGTGGCTGTGATA